GAGACGCTGTACCACGTTGACGCCAAAATGGCATCGACATGGTACCAACTCGGTCTTCACTTTGTCCCATGTTACAAACTGATAGCGTATCGACGCACGAGCCGTTTAGACAGAAAGTTAGTAAAGTATCCAACGTGCATTACATTTCAATATAAAACTGAAAATCTCAACACAGAAGGAAAAAACTCATTTGCGCACAATTTTCCCTCAAAGAGATATGCTGTTTGGTGCAACACTAGTTACGATTATTCAGGAAGGCAACATTGCACCATGTTAGTGCTATGTTATTAACCGTTAAAAAATTTGATTAATTTGGCACCCCGTTGGTACCATGTTGATAATGCGTTAAAACTGTGGTAGCATCAAAATGATACCATGTTTCACTCACCAACGTGGTCATTTTTAGCGGGGAATCGTAGATCGAGGAAGTATTCTGCCATGCTAAGAAAGAACGCCGAATGAGCCTTCAGAAATTGCCGAACTTCTTTCGACTAACTATGAATTTTCGGAGTTTGGGAGTATTTTTCCTCCAATTATTATGGATTTGTTTTCGTGATTTGATCTTTAGTGTCTGAAAATTTCCATGAAAAATGTTCATAACTATCCTCAAAAATTTATCTTCTCTGAAAGTAAATTTGACAACATTTGAATTTTATACGGCGTTCCTCCTCTGCACGGCGGTATTTTGGCATACCGCGAGACACCCTGTACACGAGATAATTGGTAATTCTTGAAATTCGGCATTACTGTTCATACTCAACTCCCCCTTGCTCCCGTGATTGCTAATCGATTCAGGTCCTGCTCAACCGACCTGTTCTCACGCTCTACTTCGTTTCGGCAATAGATTCGATCCTCCGTCGTTGCCAAATTGCACACATACATCAGAAGAGTCTATCTACACTGTAGTAATGAGGAAAAACGACTTGTGCACATTCTAGCGTTGCCAAATTCCTTCTGATGTGACACGAATGCTCTAGTAATTCAAGGAATATTTTCCCTTGAAACTTGTGAATTTTTTTTTTCGAAATTTAATTGTGTGCTCTCTGAAATTTTAAGAAAAAATATTCACAACTTTTCTCTAGAATACATTTTTTATCGAAGGGAATTTGAGAATATTTGAATGTTCCTATACGGCGTTTTCTCCTAACATGGCAGAATAGATCCCCGCGGGTTGGCTATTTCAAATAAATCATCTCGAGATATCTATTTTCTGGCGGAAGTAATCTTAAGCTAATCTGACATGGATTTTTGGGAGAAATTTTTTAAATAAACGTATTTTTGTCAAAATTTGGTTCCAATTCTGAAAGCAGCGACGACATCGACGTTATTTCAGAGATTTATCTGTTGCCTTTTGGGCCCCGCAAAGGGTACCTACACCGCTATTCGCCTCCATGCATGATTGAAATCAGGAAGAACGGATTCTACATTCTGATTTGACGGCGAAGTCAAGCACTTGAATAAACTGAACCAAATCTCATGAGCTTCTCTTAAAATTAGTGTTTCATGAAGGACCCTCAAGTCTGTTCTCTACGTAGATGGGTTTCAAATTTTGAAATTTCAACGAAAATTCGTGATTTTTTTTATGGGGTAGCCAGCGCTATGGATTGAAACATGAGGATGAACTTAGAATAAATGTTTTATCCAAAGTTTCTAGTCCAAGCTTTTCGACCTTGGCTATCGTCAGGACTTTTTCACAGAAAATAACAGTCTAATACTATTCATGAATTTGAATTGACGTAAAATTAGTATAAAAGAAGCTTGCCAATTTGTAGTGGTCTTATCTCTTGATGTAACCAGTTGTATCTCCTATCACTTGATCATCATTACATGTTTCATCTCTTGTTATTTGATGTAAGTTCATTTTTATTTTTTCATCCATAGTGCTGCGGATACCCCTTGAAACAATCACAGACACGAATTATTACGAAGCAGCCCGAGACAATGGTAACATGAAAACAAACAAGGGGGGAAAACGGAAAACAAGGCTAAAAATACAACACTAAAAACCCGAGACGTTTCAAATCAAAACTTTGTTTTCCTCGGATTTTGGCCACCAACATTTAGCAGGTTTTTCCCTCAATTTTTTTTAATTTTTAATTCATTTTCCGACTGGAAATGACTCGATTTTGAGTCGGAAGGTCTCGGGTTTTTAGTTTTGTATTTTTAGCCTTGTTTCCCGTTTTCCCCTCTTGTTTATTTCATGCAAACAATTACTTAAAGTGCTACAACCAAAAGATGTTGTACAACAAAACATAAAAAAAAAAATTGTTTCAGAGACAATCGGTTCGATTTACTAAAATCGTTCCTTTTTTCCGTCGTAAATCGCTACTCCGCAGAGGCTACTAAGCTCTCGAAAATAAGATAGACATCCCTCTTGATGGGATCCGTATCACTGCCAGTCAGATAAAATAAAAATTTTAATCCTCAAAGGATACGTGTTCGCGTTGAGCCGCTCCGGGTGTAGTAATCCGTGTAAGTGACGTATAGGACCGCGAGGGATTCCTCACACGCCCCCACGCTCGCCCCTCCGTCCCCTTCTTCCCCCCTCCCCCTCCCTCCATCCCTTAACCTCCCCCCTCTCTCTCTCTGCGCCCCGCACGACGACTCGCCAACTTTTGGAGCCGAACGCGACGGTACGGTACCGCTGCGAGGAGACGAAGTTGTGGTGAGTTGTAAATGCGACTTGCTGCTCTTTGAACCGCACGCCGTTTACGTTAACGACAAATAGTAAGGAAGTTAGTATTCTCGAGCACGAACGCTGGATCTTAGTAGGCCCGAGGCTCACCGCTGTTCGAGAGTGAGACTTCAGGTTAAGAGCGGAATCTCACGGTGACAAAAACCTCCGGGATTCTGAATGAGCTGTTTCGCCAGCGGAAGCTTTTTCCACTCGGCGCTTGTAAATAGGGAAAAGTTTTGGGGTTTTAATCCAATTCACGGTCTCTCATGATCTGCATTGCTCGCGTTGACGAATCGTGCTGAGGTGGTTGAACACAACGCTGCCGTTCTAGGGGATAACGGCTTATCGACGGCTAAGGAACAAACCGCCTTAGAGTACCTTTATAGACAGAGTATGGCCATTCGTATCTTTTTACTACAGGAAAACTGTTCCGCTTTTTGATTGGTCAACGAGTTTTTAGGCTTCATGATGCTCTTAGGGCCGTAAATAAACAAACAAGGTGACGATTCACCGTAACATCGATAAGAAGCTAAATTTGACAAAAATTTCAATTATACGGCAGTAACAATTTAAACTAGCGTGTCTACGAATAACACACGAAAAAAACACGAAAACATTGTTAAATCGCCTTTCACCTTTATCACAGGAGGATGTAAGATGTGCATAACCTCAATCTTGCTTGCTGATAACAGCCATCTTGTTTGTTTATTTTACGGCCCTAAGAGCATCGTGTCAGCCTATTCGCTCGCGACCAATGAAAAACCGGAACAGAAATGGCCATACTCTGTCCATGAAGGTACTCTAAACCGCCTAACTGACAATTCTAACGACAATGAGTTAGCGATTTTGCCGCATTCTAAAGTATATAAAACGCAAGCTGGTGTTAATAGTTTTTTTTTTCTAATTGGCCATCAAAGCGCTGTAAAGATGTCATAATGGATAAAAAAATTGCAAATCAAATGTCGTAAGTACAAAAATAGTAAAGCTTTTTTTTTCGCCCTGTAAAATCGTCAATTTGCCGGTAGGCTGTATTGTTCCTTAGCCATTGACATGAAACTTCCTTTTATAAATTTCTTTTCTGAAATACAAATTTTCAGGAAATTCTGAAAATATTTTGCCTCCAATTTTACATTTAATTTTTTTCGCAATTAGATCTAAATTATCTGAAATTTTTGAGGCAAAATGTTCATAACTCTCCTTAAAAAAGAACATTTTATGGGTGGAAATTTGGCAACTCTCGAAGGTCCATACAGCGTCTTCTCTTGGCACGGCAGTGCAGTATAGTAAAAAAGGACCTATCGAATTTTTTTTTTCTTTTTAATAAGCCATAAACGTAAATTACAAAGGAAAAAGAGAAAAAATAAGAGACGTTTTAAGGTCGATTCTACCACCGCTGGTTAAATTTAACCCCTTGTCAAAGCAAAACTTGTGACTCTATTTTTGGGAATTTTATTGCTTAACCAGGGCTTCTGCCCAACTTATCAATATTACTGGGTATAGTCAAACATTTCGTGCAAAAAAATCAATCATCACTCGTCCAAAAATTTTCGGTCTTTGGGACTCTTTTCGAACTGTCCTTTTGGGGTTAAGCCGCGCCGGTGTGAAACAGGGCAAGACGTCAGGTGAGTTGAGTTCGTCTTTTGATACAACTATTACAACTCTCAAGTAACGCACGGTGGCATCTTTCTCATTTGAAGGCGTTTTTGTGCCGTTGACTCGAGCACTTCACTTTTCGGGCAATCTTCGTTGCTCTTGAGTGCTAATATGCTGCGGTTGTGTCATTTCAAGACTGCCTAGGTTTTTGAAGGTATCTTTGTTAAATTTAAGTGCCTATTACAGTCGTCGTTGTACGAGTCGATGTTTGTTGTGGTTGTGCGCTAAATTTTCGCCCTGCGCATTTCCTCAATATTTCGTTAAATTGACACCGAATCGTGCATACATGACAATTTAATTCCAAGAATTATTGGAGAAGAAATGCCTCATAATTACTTTCTAAATTTTAGAAACGACAGTCATCTCAATTTCATATTTTTCTCAATTAAACGATGTGCATGCAAAAAAAAAAAAAAAAAAAAAAAAATTAGCGATGTTTGAACCAGTAAAACTGTTTCGGATTTAATGAGATTAGCACCAACAGGAAGAAAGTTTACATCTTACCTCTTCTCACCTACTCTTGTGTGCTAATATGCTGCGGTTGTGTTCATTTCAAGACTGCCTAGGTTTTTGAAGGTACTTTTGTTAAATTAAAGCGATTATAGGCACAAGTACATATCCTTACAAAACCATAATAACTGACGTATGATTTCTCTGTTGTGTGTTCCAGCCTGAGGATGAGCCAGATGAGGCGAGTAATGAGCCGCTGGACATAGGATGGCCTGATACAACGAGAAAAAGACTCACTTATGTCCTAGTGGCACCCATAGTCTTCCCGCTCTGGTTGACGCTACCTGATACCAGAACGCCTAGAGGTTTGCTGCTATATTTCATTCAAGAAACACTACACTAGAAAAAAAAACACATTGGATGTAGAGTCCAGACTCTTGAAAGCATTGACAAGAAAAAGGACTCTTGATTCAATCAGATTTAAGCTTAAATCAAAAGGAAATCCGCTCAAATTAAGAGGCTTGGTTCTTGATTTGAGCTTAAATCTGATTCAATCAAGAGTATTTTTCTTGTCGATGTTTTTAAGAGTCTGGATTCTAGATCCAATGTGCTTTTTCCAATGTAAGTCACCACAAAGTATCAATACTGTGCGTCATTTTGGACGAAGATATATTGGACGATCCTTTACAATTTGGAACTACAATTTATCGTTACTCGGTAAAAACACTTATATGCTTAGGGGAACCAATGGCATATTCGTTGTTTTTTAACTGAGACTGTAATTGTAGTTCCTAATTTTGCAAATGTAGTCCACTTCAGCATCAGGTTTTAGACATTTCATCAGGAATCAAATTCAACAAAAACGCACCGACTTTGAACCGAAAAAAGAGGTTTCAAGTTTTATTCCTCCATAAGGCTCCATGATCAGGGCAATATATAACGACTATTTTTACGTTCATGGTATTTTTTCTCAACTTCAAATTTTTGATAGGACAAAATTTACTAACTAGTCGAATTCTAAACTATTCCGAACTCATTTTTCTCTTTTTCAAAATGCACCTTGGCGCATTGTGTTAAACCTGGTGTATTTTATAGTTGCTAGGTTTTTAAAAGACCCTCCCTTTGGTATTCCGACTATTGTATAACTTGTTATATTTGGAGACTCAGCATCTCATTATATAGAAAACAATATTAATTTCAACTTGTTGGCCAATGGGCTAGACCAAACGAATTTGATACACACAAGACAATGCCAACCATTGTAGGTCTAACAGAACTCCCTCAGCAGCATTTAACATTGGCAGCAGGAGAACTTTCGAAATTAAAGCCCAATAATATCCGCCCAAAAAAGCATGAACAAACGACCGAATCAACAACCAAGCATTACCTGAACGTATTTCTGCCAAACAGAACTATGTGCATGAAGACATAAGCCCTGAGATCCTTATGGATACATGCATAACAGGGCTCAGGTCATGATGCACATAGTTCCGTTGGGCAGAAATACGTCCATCTAACCCTCCTTTCTCGCAGTTTGCATGTCATGTTATAACTGGGTTACGAACCGTAGACCTCGCTGCCGATCTGAATATTATGTCAAAGACTAACAGCCAACGAAGGTGGTAGGGTGCAATAGAATATATTATTGTTTCTTATTGGTTTATTTGGCATGGGGACACCTTGCTGTAGACTATGTTGTGACAACTTGCTCTGAGGTAACATGATTTTCGAGGACTCTGCATGGTCAAAAAGTGAAATTTAATAATGAATGCATAAATTGAAATGTAAATAAGCCCTGGCAAATTTTTGTGAGAGTTAAGATAATTCCATGTATTAAAAAAGTAAAATTTAAAAAAAAAATAAAAAATAAATAAATAAATAACAACCGCCATCTCCAAAGGGACGATTCTAAGACGTATCATATTAAGGAGCGTGGCATAAACATTTGCAAATTATAGAGGGCGTAAACTTTTCTACACCCAAATTCTCTGCGCCTTTCTTGAATTTTTTCACAGTTAGTGTGTGGACAGAAAAGACGATTTCAGTTTAAAAAAAATCGCTCAACAAAAATTTGAGATTTTCCCTTGGTATTATATTATTGAATGCCAAAGATGATTGTATTTTCGGGGACAGTTCCCAAATGTTTTGAGCATCTAATGTGTGAAATAAAATTTCCAATACTCCTTCGGTTTTACCCATTTTCCCGGTAGCTGAGAGCCCTCAAATCATTTTCTCTGTATGCTGTTCCAGGTAAAAAATTTTTTGTCATCACATTTGCCGGCAGTATATTGTGGATTGCGGCATACTCATACTTGATGGTGTGGTGGGCGAATGTCGCCGGCGACACCATTAGCATCCCTCCAGAGGTGAGCTCACTTCCCATTTTTTTGTCCCAGTTCCAAACTTTCCTTGTATCTTTCATGAGGCCAGTGTTGCCACACCGCTCTCAGTTTGTGCGTCGACGCTGCATCATACTTCAAGGTTCGCCATGTCGTCACCCTCCGGCGAAAATATCTCAAGCGCCATACGACGCACAGTGAATCGAATCAATGGGAAAGGTCGGACAAAATAGGAAACTTTAAAAGCTTTTAACTCTGTTAATACAAAAATTTGAGATTTTAAAAGTAGTCATCGGTTTCCTCGCGAAATTTTCTTCTAAAAAGCACCCCTCAAAATGCTGAATGTGACGAAATTAACATCAAAATTCGGAGTTTTAGTCAAAAATGACATGTCCAACCTCTCTGATCGACTCGATCTACTGTGTGATGGTTAAGAATTTCCGCCGCCATTTTATTGAGCACAGATAAATTTTTGGTTGAATCTGTTTGAAAATTTTACTAAATTTTATCGACAGCACAAGGAAAATTTATTGAAATTTTCGGATAGCTTGATGGAACAATTTTTCTGTAAAAAAAATAAAACGGCGGTGGAAATTTTTAAACGTCACATGGCGCTTGTGATACTTCGGCTAGAAGGTGACGACGTCATTCTTTACCATATTTCAGCTTAAAGCAGCTCCGGCGTGTTATTTTAATAGTTGTTTTTTCAAATGTCTTATTCAGCAAATCCATTGCAGATCAATTTTTTTAAAATTTTTCGGCTACACAATTCACAACATTCGATGAGCCCGCAGTCTTCAAATGTTTAAATTCATCAATCAGAAATTCAATAAGCCCAACGTTATCTACGAATATTCATTTTAAGGACAATGGTTTAATTGCATTTTAAGTTTTATCTGTAAATATACCAAGAATGAGATGTCTTTTGCCCTACATTAAGTTCACATACCCCAGACCGGTGCTAGGGTTGCATTCGTGGTACCTTGGTAATGCCAAAAAATTACTCTTTTTTACAAAAATATATTTCTTTATATTTGCGTGTGGTGAATTATGAGTGAAATTTGGCAACCTCTAAGAATTAATCGTAATAGGTTTTACGTAAATGAATCACTTTTTTCTGACGAAGCGAATTTAAAGGTCATGTTTTTTTTAGGATGGTGCTGAAGCCTGAAGCATCATTTTCAGGGTGAAGGATTAAAAAAATTAGAAAAGGGAGGATGATTTTGCAAAGAATTCGATCATCATGAGGCCACCCTTTCTTGATAAGTATCGTCAGAAAAATATAATTTCTTCCTACCGACATAATTTAAAGTCAGAAAATGTTTAATTGAATCATGTAACTAGAAATGGATTCCCGAATGTGTTTATAAATTATTCATTTTTTTGGTCTTGACGTATCATTGAATCGGGACGTATTTTTGGCACAATGTGGAATTTGCACTGCCATAATTCAACGGCATTCGTAACAACAAATTGTACACTGTTAACACCGTGGGATCATCACTTTCCGCCTTTAAACTCGATATAAAACAGGGCTAGACGGCAGGTGAGTTGGGTTTGTCTGATGATACAACTATTTTAACTCTCAAGTAACGCACGGTGGCATCCTTCTCATTTGAAGGCGTTTTTTGTGCCGTTGACTCGAGCACTTCACTTTTCGGGCAATCTTCGTTGCTCTTGTGTGCTAATAAGCTACGATTGTGTTCTTTTCAAGACTGCCTAGGTTTTTTGAAGGTACTTTTGTTAAATTAAAGGGCTTATTAGAATCGCCGTTGTACGAGTCAATATTTGGTGTGTTTGTGCAAGAATAAGCCGCTAAATTTTCGCCCTGCACATTTCCTCAAGATTTCGTTAGATTGACACTAGATTTTGCATGCATGACAATTTGATGCCAAGAATTATTGGAAAACAATGCCTCATAATTATTTTCCAAATTTTAAAAACGACAGTCATCTCAATTTCAAATTTTTCTCAATTAAACGATGTAAATGCAAAAAAAATTTAGCGATGTTTCAAAGAGCATAACTGTTTCGGATTTAATGAGATCAGCACCACCAGGAAGAAAGCTTACATCTTACCTCCCAAATCTCGGTAGCGGCTGGTTCAACTTCCCGTTAAAAGCTCGCGTCAATGGCTCTCAATACGCCTTCAAATAAGAAAGATGCTACCGTGAGTTACATGAGAGTTAAAATAGTTGTATCAAAGGACGAACCCAACTCGCATATCGTCTTACCCTGTTTTACACAGTGTTTAGTGGCGAAAAGCGATGGTACTCTAGCGATCATGGTATTTACAAGATGTAGTTTGCGCGAGTAAGAAACTTGAACATACTTTAAAGAAATTACATTACATGGGATATAAAAAAAAAATAAAATAAACGAATAGATACTGCATCGCAACTCAAAGGATAGAAAAGAGTTTATCGAAAAAAATACGTCAGTTCTCAGTAACAAGCTACAGGAATTAATGAGTTTTAACATTTTGCGACTTTATATTTATTTTAAATTATATACTAATAAATAACAGTATTAATTTAGAAAAGTCTCTCCAATGTTTCTTGCCGAAAGTTTACAATTTTGGAAGGTTAATTTACCGTAAATTTACCCTCGCACAGGGGCACTGTAAGACAAAAAAACCCCGACAGAACTAAAGCAGTTTCGCTGCATTTCATCCCTCAATATGCACATGGTAGTTCACACCGCTCACCGTGAAAAATTCAACGTGCGTATAACCTGCTACATAATTAAACGAATTATTCGCGAGGGCTCGGCACGGACATCGGCTTCCTATTCGGAGCTCCGAATGAATTATTCAGGCGGTCGAAATGAAAAACACGGGTATTCGAGAAATAAGAGGCACCGGGAAAGATTATAAGGACTCCCGAAGGGCTAATTTAGATAAGGTCGAGTCAGCATGGCTACGGTAAGTTCTGACTTTGAGGCCGGCCCGCCCCTCCCCCTCCCCGCGGCATCGCCGTGCAGAGGTGGAGAATAAAGAATAGTGCTGGGGCTAACTGGGCGCAAACGGTCTGCTCATAAATAGGATTCTTCTTCGTATGGATCCTTCAAAGCAGCGTTGCCACTTCGTACAGATAAAATCGATCGTGCTTTCGAAAGATGCCTACGGTCTCCGCCGGAACTGCAACGCCGATTTCGGATAAAATATGCATCCATTGCATTGCATTACATGAGAAAATTGGAAAACCCTCCGCAAAATGGACGTTTTTAAGTAGGCACATGAAGGTTTCTGACTTCGTGTTGCTTTGTAGGAGGATGTGATTAATTTTTTTTTTTGTTCCCTAGGCGCCCTGAAAGGGTGCATGGAGACTCTACCGAAGTCTGATATCTAAAATATTACCAATTTTAACGATTAAGCTCGGGAAATCGGGTGCTCCTGTTAAATTAAGCCATTACTCTACACTTGAACTTGTGACAACCCCTCATAAACAGAGAGGAACCAAGCCACATCAGGTATTGCCAAATTTAATTGGGCAAGTTAATTTTTTCCATGAAAACGGTTGTGCGGATTTTCGAGCAAATTTCAGTGAAAATTCTCCATGGTACGAAGCAAATTTCTTAAAATTTTCAAAGAAATCCAAACAAACGTTCTCTTGTAAAAAATTTAATTGCCCAGTTAAACATGGCACTAGCTGATGTGGCTTATTGGTTCCTTTCTGTTTAACGCGGTCCAAATGATATCATAATGCGTTAAGGCATTTGATGGTTAGAGTAGATATACGTTTAGGTTAGGTTAGATGCAAATGCAGATTGTATATAAATTATTTTCCATGCCCAGATAGTACTAAATAAGACAAGAGTTGCTAGTCCGTCGAAAAGGTCAGGTGTCAAAATTAGTGTTCTTTAACCCACAGTTGGACTGCATTTTGCAATTTGAAACTATAATTTCTGGCTCAGTTGAGAAACAACGTATGTACCATTAGTTTCCCTATGCATGTAAGTGCTTTTACAGGTGAGCCATAAATTATGGATCCGAATTGCAAAATGTGGTCCAGTTATCAGTCTCTGATTAATAACAAGCAAAATGCTTCACTTCAATAGTATAAAGTTGGCTCTTCAAAAAAATAAAATGAGAGTAAAAATTTTGAAGCTGCGCTATGAGGATCCATGATTTTGCTCTCAAGCCATCGATATTTTGATTATTCATACCTACAAATAATGGGATCCACGGAACAATCAATGGCTCAAATGGACCGAGTTTAACAGAAAGGAACCAAGCCACACCGGCTATTGCCAAGTTTAACTGCGGGCAATTTAATGTTTTAGGAGAGAACGTTTGTTCGGATTTCTTTGAAAATTTTAAGGAATTTGCTTCGTACCACGGAGAATTTTCACTGAAATTTGCACGAAAATCGGAACAACCGTTTTCATGTAAAAAATTATAGTGCCCAATTAAATTTGGCCATAGCTGATGTGGCTTGGTTCCTTTCTGTTCAACGCGGTCCAAATAGGCAACTACGTGTCTCATTTTGCGCCGTTGCAGGCTTCCCGTTCAGTTTTTCAAAATTTAAAAAATTTAGCAACGTTCTCTCTTGAAAATATTTGTGATTTTCTCTATCTAATTGAGGAATAATATTCTGTGGGAATCTCAATGAAAGAAGTTGGCGCGTTTCCTGTAGAGAGAATAAAATAAAAGGGACGATTTTGCAACACCGCAATCGTAGTACGTGGTTTCCAAACTACGTCATCGAACAGGCGATAATCATGGTCTTAACTTTAAGAGGATTTTCTGAGCTTGGGAGAGGATTCATTACCAAAAGCAGGGGAAAATTGAATGGTTAAATCGGAAAGTTCAGAGCCGTAGAGAAGCTTTTGGCTTTAATTTTTAGCTCTGAGCTAGGATGTCCCATTTGACAACGGCAGGAATGAATGGAGAAGTTCGTGACAGGGTGGGGAATCGAGGGGGCAAAAGGTTCCGGCTCCCACTCACCATCTCAAGCGGACCAAGAGATTATTTTAATTTTTCATCGTCCTCATTATCCTCACGCCGTTGATAGCTCCAATGGCTAGAAAGCTGCGCAAAAAGAGAGGGAAAATTTTGTTTACTGGCTGAGGGATAAAAAAGAGGAAAAGAAGGAACCTGGTTTAGGAATGCACCAGCGTTTCCAGATCCCTCTTGAACATGTATTTACTGCTGCATGGTCCTCGAATTGTGGTTTAAAATATTTTACTAACTGACAAGTCGCTCTTACAGCGCTTCTGTGCGCTCTGCGACACCCAACCGCCACTGATCGCGATCCTGCCAGAGCTCCTCCGGCAAATCGGATCTCCTCATTTCCTGCCTTATTCCCTCAATCCACGATTTGGCAGGGCGTCCTCTACGCTTTCTGCCAGGGGGCAATCTGCTTTCTTTAATATCTTTTTCATTTTGAAAAAATGGGGGTAATTGAGGTCAAAAAGTGTGTGAAGGGAGCGATAACGGAAGATAAAACTGATACCTAACTAACAATTTTCTTCCTCAGCAGAACCTTCTGGTTTTATTCTTCTCTGCCCAGTCTTGTTGCCTCTTCCTTGGCGCTTATACGTAGTGTCGCAGCATACCGCTTTTGCGATAGTTTCGAAATCAAAAGATCAGCGTACCAAAATCGATTCGATCTTTTAAAATATATCGATGCACGATTCTCAATCAGTTGTCATAGATCTTGCATCATTCCTTTCATGTGCTTTTTACTTACAATAAAATCTCTGTGAGAGAAAAGTAATCAGGTTGATACACGAGTGAATGACACGCCTTATCAACACATTGTGTTGGAGTTCACTGCTTGTTTTTCCTCTATTCTCGTTTCTCTCTCTCTATTTTTCTATTCGTTATTTTTTCTCTCTCCTTTCGTTTCTTCTCTTTCTGCTTCACGGCAGCACTTTAAAGGATATTCACTTATACCGATTTCAGCAGACAAAACACCTTTACGGAATACGGAATTACTTTATTGTAAAATCGATAGAAGTTTTTTTATTATATTGCACCAAAAAAGTATGCCTCTTCTAGTCAACGGTCCCTACTCAGATATTGCAAGAGGCAATGTGCCGAGTTCTTCATGATGATCAAGGAGATCTTTTGTTTCCTCGCAAGCCAAGAGGATAAGACAGACGAAAAGAACCAAGAGCGGCGAAGCGTCCAAACACTCTCCAACAGTCTCCCATCTTCATTAGAAAAGAGTGTAAAAGGGCTGAAAAAGTCACTTTTCATCCCCGTTTTTTTCGATATTTACAGATAGAAAGTTAGATTTTAAAAGCTGTCAAAGGTACCGTAGGGCACATCAAATCAGAAAAAAAACTATGGCCGGCGCCGAATTTCTTCGCATTCCATGCGTGCCTGCAACTTCGGACACATTAGGTCTTCACATCATCCGATCCAAACAGCGATTTCCTAATGCAAGTACATTCAGAATACGCCCCCGGGGCTGGGAACTAGAAACAAGGGGGTAAGGAACAGGAAGTAAAAATTCAACTTCCGCGCCCGGAACATTACTGTTCAATCGTCCCTGTGACGTAACGACAGACAAATTACGCGCGCGGCACTTTGCCCGAACGCTTTGTGACGGCGATTCCGAGCAGGGCTGCCGGATCGTGCCCTAAAATCACAATTCCCGACCCCCGTTGAACGTACCGCGTCCTGCGTGAAAAAATCCGCAAATTCGACACCGATGTTTCTGAGCTTGTCATCGTTTGCAACGCCGTCCCCCCCCCCGC